AACCCCAAAAAAACCCAAAAACGGGGGGTCAGGGACCCCAAAAACCCACAAAACCACCCCAAAAACCCCCACAGCCCCCCGTGTACGGGGTGCCCTCTAAAAACCCAAAAAAACCCAAAAACGGGGGGTCAGGGACCCCAAAAACCCACAAAACCAGCCCAGAAACCCCCACAGCCCCCCCGCGTACGGGGTGCCCTCTGGAACCCCAAAAAAACCCAAAACGGGGGGTCAGGGACCCCAAAAACCCACCCCAAAACCCCTTCCCACATCCCACCATGACTTGGGGATCCCCCTGGGATTTGGGGCTCCCCCCCAGGGTTTCGGGGTCCCCCAAAGTTTCAGGACCCCCCAGGATTTGGGGACCCCCTGTTTTTGGGGTGCCCTTACCCGGCCCCTCGATGGCCACCTGCAGGTCGCTCAGGGGTGATTCCCCCCAGGATTCTCCCCAGGATTTCAGGGATCCCCCCAGGATTTCAGAGACCCCCCCAGGGTTTCAGGACCCCCCAGGATTTTGGGGACCCCCTGTTTTTGGGGTGCTCACCCGGCCCCTCGATGGCCACCTGCAGGTCGCTCAGGGATGATTCCCCCCAGGGTTTCAGTGATCCCCCCAGGGTTTCAGTGATCCCCCCAGGATTTCAGGATCCCCCCAGGGTTTCAGGGACCCCCCCAGGGTTTCAGGACCCCCCAGGATTTTGGGGACCCCCTGTTTCGGGGTGCTCACCCGGCCCCTCGATGGCCACCTGCAGGTCGCTCAGGGATGATTCCCCCCAGGATTTCAGTGATCCCCCCAGGATTTCAGGGATCCCCCCAGGGTTTCAGGGATCCCCCCAGGGTTTCAGGACCCCCCAGGATTTTGGGGACCCCCGTTTTCGGGGTGCTCACCTGGCCCCTCGATGGCCACCTGCAGGTCGCTCAGGGATGATTCCCCCCAGGACTTTGGGGATCCCCCAGGGTTTCAGGGATCCCCCCAGGGTTCCCGGGACCCCCCAGGATTTGGGGACCCCCGTTTTCGGGGTGCTCACCCGGCCCCTCGATGGCCACCTGCAGGTCGCTCAGGTCCTGCTCGTTGGGGAACAGCCGGATGCCGTCGGGGGGGTCGGCGCTCAGCAGCGCCACCTCGCGGCACAGCAGCCGCAGCGCCTGCGGCGGCAGGTTCTCGGCCTCGGGGGTCTGGGGGAGATTTGGGGGGTCAGGGGCACCCCAAAAACCCAAAACTGGGGTACCCCAGACCCAGATAACCCTGGGGGAGAAGGTTCTCGGCCTCGGGGGTCTGGGGGCAAAAACGGGGGTCAGGGGCACCCCAAAAACCCAAAATTGGGGTACCCCAGACCCTGATAACCCTGTGGTGGGCAGGTTCTCGGCCTCGGGAGTCTGGGGGAGATTTGGGGGTCAGGGGCACCCCAAAAACCCAAAATTGGGGTACCCCAGACCCAGATAACCCTGGGGGAGAAGGTTCTCAGCCTCGGGGGTCTGGGGGAGATTTGGGGGGTCAGGGGCACCCCAAAAACCCAAAATTGGGGTGACCCAGACCCAGATAACCCTGGGGGAGAAGGTTCTCGGCCTCGGGGGTCTGGGGGAGATTTGGGGGTCAGGGGCACCCCAAAAACCCAAAATTGGGGTGACCCAGACCCTGATAACCCTGGGGGAGAAGGTTCTCGGCCTCGGGGGTCTGGGGGAGATTTGGGGGTCAGGGGCACCCCAAAAACTGGGGGAGCACCCCCAGAATGGAGCAGAGGGGAAGTGGAGAGAAGGCAGGGAGAGATTTGCAGAAAACGGCCCAAAAATGGGAGATGGAACCCTCCCAGAGGGTTAAAACCAGCTGGGAAAGGGTTAAAAAGGGAAAGGGATCCCCAAAATCTGGGATTTACCCACGGGGGGAGACCCCAAGGTCACCCCCTTGCTACTAAATCTGAGCAGGAAGAAAAAAGTGACAATCGGGGAAAATCACCCAAAAATGAGAGTGAACCCTCCTGAAATGTTTAAATTCACCTGGGAATGGTTAAAAAGGGAAAAGGATCCCCAAAATCTGGGGTTAGTTTCCTGCTAGGAATTAAAAAGTGCCAAAATCGGGGGAAAATCACCCAAAAATGAGAGAGTGAATCCCCTGAAAAGCTAAATTCACCTGGGAATGGTTAAAAAGGGAAAAGGATCCCAAAACCTGGGTTCGCTTCCTGCTAGGAATTAAAAAGTGCCAAAATCGGGGGAAACTCACCCAAAATGAGAGACTGAACCCCCTGAAATGTTAAATTCACCTTGAAATGGTTAAAAAGGGAAAAGGATCCCAAAATCGGGGATTTCCCTGGGAGGGGAAACCCAAAATCATCTCCTTCCTGCTAGGAATTAAAAGTGCCAAAACTGGGTGAAAATCACCCAAAAATGAGAAAGTGAACCCCCCTGAAATGCTAAATTCACCTGGGAATGGTTAAAAAGGGAAAAGGATACCCAAAATCTGGAGTTCACTTCCTGCTAGGAATTAACGAGTGCCAAAATCAGGGGAAAATCACCCAAAACTGAGACTGAGCCCCCTGAAATGTTAAATTCACCTGGAAATGGTTAAAAAGGGAAAAGGATCCCAAAATCGGGGATTTCCCTGGGAGGGGAAACCCAAAATCATCTCCTTCCTGCTAGGAATCAAAAGTGCCAAAACTGGGTGAAAATCACCCAAAAATGAGAGAGTGAATCCCCTGAAATGCTAAATTCACCTGGGAATGGTTAAAAAGGAAAAGGATACCCAAAATCTGGAGTTCACTTCCTGCTAGCAATTAAGAAGTGCCAAAAACGGGGGAAAATCACCCAAAACTGAGACTGAGCCCCCTGAAATGTTAAATTCACCTAGAAATGGTTAAAAAGGGAAAAGGATCCCCAAAATCGGGGACTCACCTGCCAAGCGCCGCCTCGGGGCTCCTGGGGAGGCAAAAATTTGGGGTGAATTTGGGGTGGGGAGACCTCAAAAAGCCCCAAATTCCCACTAATCCCCCCCAAAAATCCCTCAGCAGCTCCCCCAAACTCAGAGCGCCCCAAATCCTCCCCAAAACTCCCAAAATTTCCCCAAAATTCAACCCAAACACACAGTGCCCCAAAACTCCCAACGTTTACCCCAAAACCTCCCCAAATCCCCCAAGTTTCGCCTCCAAACTCCCTCAATTCGCCCCAAATCGACAGAAAATCCCCCAAATTCCTTCAAAGCTCCACAAACTTCACCCAAATCCCCTAAAAATCCCTCAGAACTCCCCAAATCCCCTCAGGATCCCAAAATCTCCTCAAATCCCCCCAAAACCCACCCAGGACCCCCAAACCCCCTCAAATCCCACAAAAATCCCCTCAGGATTCTAAAATCTTCTCAGGAGCCCCAAAATCCCCTCAAATCCCCCCAAATCCTCTCAGGACCCCCCCAAACTCCTTCAAATTCCCCCAAAATCCCCTCAAATTCCTCAAAGATCCTTTCAGGACCCCCCAAATCCCCTCAGGACCCCCAAACTCCCTCAAAAAATCCCCTCAGCACCGCCAAAATGCTCTCAGGACGCCCCAAATTCCCTGAAATGCGCCCAGGATCCCCTCAGGACCCCCAGGATCTCCTCAGGACCCCCAAGCCGCCTCAAATGCCCCAGAAATCCCCTCGAGCGCCCCAGCCCCCCTCGGGACTCCCGGAATTTTCTGCAATCCCACAGAAATCCCTCAGGACGCCCCGCGCCGCCCCGGGCCTCCCTCACCATGGCGCCGGGCTGGGCCCCGGCCGCGCGGGGCTGGCCCCGAGGGGGCAGCGGCTCCCAGGCGGTTCCTCCCGGTCCGGAGCGGGGTCCCGGGGCGCGGGGCTGACCCCTCGGGCAGGGGGGAGGCCGGGGGGCGCCCCCTGTCCCCTCCCCCGGCAGCGCGCTCCCACCTCCGGCGCCGCCGCCCGCCCGCCGCGCTGAGGGGGCCGCTCCGCCGCGCCGCCGCCTTTATAACCTCGGCCGCGCGCGGCCCCCGCCCGCCGCGCGGCGCGACCAATCAGCGCCGCGCGGCGCGCGGGGCGGCCAATGGGGAGCGAGGGAGAAGGCGGGCAGTGCGCGCTGATTGGCGGAGCCGCGAGGGGGGAAGGAGCAGGGGGCGGGGCCCGGGCGCGTTGTTTGCGCCGTAACGGTCGGCGGAAAGGGGCGGGGCCGCCGGTTTGAACGGCGGGGATTGGCGGGCACGCCGGCCAATGGGAAGTAGGGATCCGGCCGCGGGGCGGGACTTCCGGGAGGCGGGGCTCGGCGTTATTGGCAGGCGGAGCGGCCAATCAGAGCGCGGCGTTTGAGGGGGACGAGAAAATCCCCCCAAAATCCCCCCAACAAGCCCCGCCCCCTCCCCAAAGCCCCGCCCCCCCAATTTTCCCCAAAATCCCCCGAAATGGCCCCAAAAGCGAGGCGGGGGGGGCAGGAAACGTCACTTTATTCCCTCCCCCCCCCGGGGCGGGGGCGGGGCGGGGGGCGGGGCTCTAAGGCACGTGGGGGTCACGGGGAGGTCACGGGGTCACGGGGGGGTCACGGGGGGGTCACGGGGTCATCCCCTCCCCCCCTATGGCTTCGGTGCGGGCGTGACGTCATCGGGGAGGGGCGGGGTTTGCGGATGTGTGACGTCATCAGCGGGCCCAGCCCACCGTGACGTCATCGTGACTGGGGGAAGGGGCGGGGCCTTGGCAGTGGTCGGTGACGTCATCGTCGGGTGGCCCCGCCCCTCGTCGTGACGTCCTGCGGGGGGAGGGGGATCCACAGTGCTGACGTCATCGGGGCGGTGTGACGTCATCGGGCGGAGCTGTGACATCATCGGCTGCTCGGGGGTGGGGGCGGGGCGGCCGTGACGTCATTGCGTGAGGGGCTGTGACGTCATCGGCCGCGGGGGGGTGACATCATAGTTGGGGTGTGACGTCATCGCCGCCGCCGGGCGGGGCTGTGACGTCACCAGCTGCCATGTTGGGATGTGTGACATCATCGTGGGGGTGTGACGTCATGGGGGGGGGGGAATGTCCCGAATTCCCGGGGATTTGCCCCAAATCTCCGGGCCGGGGCTCGCCGCCATTTTCTGCTCTTTCTGCCCCAATTCCCACCTCGAATTTCGCCTTTCCCCCGTTTTCAACCCTTTTCCCCAATTTCCAGCATTTCCCCCCATTTTTAACCATTTCCCCCCAATTTTCACAATTCCCCCCAATTTTAACCTTTTCCCCAATTTCCACCATTTCCCCCCATTTTTAACCATTTCCCCCCAATTTT